GATAAAGAGATTGTCAAAGTCTGAGATGGCTGTTTTTCCCCATAGTTAACTTTAGATATAGCAAGGAAGAACTCACTTGATAACGAAACAGCAGTCTACCCTGTCAGCCACTGGACCACCATTAGTACTATTGTCTCCCATGTTCTACTAGCCTGTTTGTTTCACACTCTCCTGAGCTGATAAGAGCAGCTGAAGTCCCATATGGTTTTCCTGCATGGCTCTGTACTGTGTGTTTTCTTGGGTTATCAGCAGCTGTGTTGTTATATAACACCCAAATATCTACAGGACATAGCTAAATAAAGATCAAATAGAACCTAAATATTAGTACAGGACCCACAATAGCATTTTACAACCTTGTCCGTTGCTTTTATTGCATACATTCAGAGCTGTTGTGTGTGTGTGTGTTTGTGTGTAATTCTAACAAGAGAGTAGCTGATAATGGGCAGGAAAGTATGGATGGCACTGCCCTCAAATCTCACACCTGTGACTGCAAGGACCAAGACACAGTCTCCCCTGGCATTCACACTCTAACACACTCTACACACACATTATTATTCTTTGGTTGTATTGTTTTTTTGTTTTTTTTAAAGTCTGTCTTAGTTGTAGTTAATATATATAAGTCTGGAATGTCTACATGTTAATGTTTTTTAATTTTAAATGTATATACATTGCCAAGTCTTCTGTCTGTAATGTCTTTTTCGTTATGTGTCGGACCCCAGTAAGACTAGCTGTCGCCATTGCCGCTGGTTTATGGGGATCCTGAATAAAATCAAAAATTCACAACTGCCATCTGGGATAAGACACCAGGCTATAGCAACCACTTCAATCAAACTACATTCCAACATGCGGTCGTGTAATCTGCTCAACTGTATGCTGTGAACTGCTTGACGATGCCATAGGTTCCTTGTATCATGGCATAGCAGCAGAACCGTTCTGACCCTCTTGAACACTGAGCACAGAGGCACACTCACAGAGCACCAGGTGAGGTGGGTGACCTGAAAGGATAACAGCTGTCATTCCTTCCTCAGGTACTCTGTTTATGTCATCCTATCGGTCTGACCTATTCCTACTTTACAACCCAATTGTAAAACATGAGAGAAAAACTCTGTATGGAAGGCCAGGAGTAAACCCAGGCCTACAATACATCTCTGGGGCTTTCTCACTAGGAATCTACAGTAAAGTTACAACACTGGTACCTACCTGTCTACTCAAAGCCAAGGCATCTTGACTCTCACTGAACGCCAGGGAACTGGATGTTTCTCATCGAGCCAAAGATCAGCTAGGGTAGATGTAAAGCTTCCATTGATATGGTGATGATACCTCTCCACCCTACAGAGTCGATATGGATACAGTAGCTGATCTCCAGAAGTGTTGCAGAAGAAGGAGGGAGGGAAATACCTATAGCCTTATTATACCCTTCTGTATTGTATTGCAACCTATTCTGAATTTTTACATGTTAAATGCACACTGGGTTTACTACTGTAAGTACATTCTACTAAAGGGAATGTATCGAAATCATACATTTTCAAAATCTTTTGACCAATCAGATCAGCTCTGAAAAGATCAGAATTGGGCTGCCTGTGTAAACACAGCCATTGAGAAACAGTATAAAAAATACCACCTTACGTGACTACAGTTTATCCTGTATTCTCAATATATCCACTATCGGATCACCCTTCAAGGTTGATTAGTTTAATAAAGACCAATGATCCAAAAGACTCAGCTCTACTCAATTCTAATGTATCTTATGAGTGGAGCTTTTGAAACAACTAGATAAGAGTCCCTTTGAGTTAAACAATGGTTTATTGACTTTGCTGTTCAATGCACATCAAGAAAACACAAATATCACATTTAAGTAAACCTCATCATCTATAAAAGAGAAGAGAGAACCATCATTGGACTGGACCAAGAGAGCGGAGGGAGGGGACATCAGTACAAAATTAGACCAGCAATTTGAATATTATAGCCACACAGGCAGTGTATTCTGCCAGCAGCGAGTAGTACATATGGGGCTATGTGACGCAGTCTTCTAATTCGTTCAGGGGAAAGTCAAAGAGTCAGGACCCAAAAATAAATTAGGGTAGTCCATTTTTCTTTTGCATGCTCCAGGAACAGAGAGCAGCTGTTAAGTTTGGTCAACATGTTTTGTTTACAAGCTTTGCATGCAGATTCTGGGCAAGAGTCTATGTGTATTGGTATCCATGTGTTGGTGGACTGACTCACTGTAGTGTGTTTTCTCTGAACGAACGAGGATGCCTAAATCGAAGAAGGTAAGTACTTAGAGGCATTCAGTGCTATTCCTGGGGCCTGAGGGCAGCTGTCAAGACATGTCTCCACACAGCTGCTACTGCTCACAAGGAGCTGAATCACACCATCTGGGAGAAGGGGTGACTATGAACCACTGCTGACAGCAGGCAAAGATTCACACTTACAGCACACCTGATGACTGTAGACAAGTACAGATACAGTCATATATAATGACACTCTTAAACCATTTATTTTTAAAATAAGTTTAAAAAAAGAAAAACGTGTTCACACATGTATTTGTTTGATTAACAACTGCACAGGCCCCCCCTCCCCTAAAAAAATCCTAACTGAAATTGAGATTTTTCACTTCAAAGTCAAAAAATGGCCTGTTTGTTTGGAGGCAAGTTCTTGTTTACTGTGTCATTTATCTCACGTGGTAATTTGCAGGTGCATAAATGGTAAAAATTCCTTTGGGTGGTGGACCATTCTTGATACACTCCTGCAGTGTTGCAGTTCTTGACACAAACCGGTGCTCCTGGCACCTACTACCATACCACGTTCAAAGGCACTTCCATCTTTTGTCTTGCCCATTCACCCTCTGAATGGCACACATACACAATCCATGTTTCAATTGTCTCAAGGCTTAAAAATCCATCTTTAACCCGTCTCATCCCCTTCATCTACACTGATTAAAGTGAATTTAACAAGTGACATCAATAAGGGATCATAGCTTTCACCTGGATTCACCTGGTCAGTCTGTCATGTTTTGTATACACATAGCATCATCTATAAACTGTATCTCTGACAAGTGGTCTCTCCTCAGATTATCAGATGGGTCTGTTTTGTTTATGTGCCAGTCTTCTCCGTCAACACACTCATTTTCTGACAAATCCAGCTTTTGGGGAGTAAGTCTGTCTAGACTGGACTCTCTGGAGGAAGGGAAGGATCACTCCACAGGTGGTCCATTCTGACCTACATGTATTCTGAGATCAGCAGCAGTGGCCAATAGATCGTCAGCAGGACTCCCGGAGTCAGGGAGACCCTCCAGGAAATGTGTTAGCGTGTGAGCATACTAAGAATAACATTTATTTACCCACAATGCTACAGTACAGTGCCTCTGAGTTAAGCCAGGCTGATATCTAATCACGAGCCATGGGTTGTTGCCGATGCCCACAGCCTATATACTGCAGAGATGCAGTTCAGTTAAGGAGAAGACAAAGGCCATTTTTATAAGCATTACAATTCCCCTATATCAATCCTCTCTTATCAAAACCCAGCAGTCAGACCAGACATTCAGTCAACATGGATATCAGAGGAAGCAAGATTGCTTTTGTGCCTGCTTGAATTCTCATGATCCCTTAGGAAGGACTCAACATAAAGAACAGTACCTTCTTTACCCTAGGAATCTATCAAACTCACTCAGGAGAGTAGTGGTGAGAGGATATTCTGACATGGAAATATATATGTACAATGGACAAACTCTGGCAGAAACATTTGCTCAGGGGGAGGTGAGAGAGTAACTACTGAAGGAGAGCTATAATACCATACAGGGTTTACACAAGGCCTTAAGGGCCATGAAGTGGATCATCTCTAAAGAGGTCAACTTCCAAGACACCAGATGTTGGCAGGGGAGAAGAAGTACAAGCGAGGTTCTGAGAATGACAGGAGTACCAACAGGTTCCGATAGACCCTCAATAAGACCGACCAGGATTATGATGATCAATTACAGCATTTCCCGTGCCACCCAAAAACATGCACAGTCAAGACATAAGAATTGAAATGGACATTTATTATTGCCTGAGGCGTGTGCTCGAAGGTTCATGTTTCTCAAATAGCTGAACTATATGGTTTAATATATATGACTTAACATACATAAAGTACCCCCTTGACATTACACTCATAACAGGAGGCATTACAATTCAATTCAGCGTACGCAACAGGTCAGGAATTGGACAAAGAACCATCAGTGCAACTTCTTGGACTTGGCTCTCTTTGTCACTGACCTCTGAAGCTTATTCTGGTACACTTCTCATCAGTTATAGTGCTATACTGCTGAGAGTTAAGGCAGTTTTTACCATCTTACAGTGTGATCATGTGTATTTAAAGCCTTCTGACACTAGGCCAGTAATTGTGCTATTGCCATTTCTTTAAATGTCAAAGCTGTTATATTTCCTCAGTGTTTAACTGACTACTGCCGCAAGGTTTAAATGGTAATTGTCAGGTAATTGTCATTCCGCTCATTGCTAGGTGATTTCTAATTTCAGATGAGGTCTCCATTATGTGGGTAGCAGTTCAGCGATTTACAAGGGACTTGCAGTTAAGCACTCTGAATGGAAACCAAGTTCTTTGTGAACAAATGTTCAATTTCTATATTCACATAGTTACATAAATAGCAGGACACAGTATTTCTGAATAGAGCACACATTATATTAACATCATTTTAAAAACATTCGATTTTTCTTTTACATACATTACACATGACAATGTGACTGCTAGTGTCAAAATACTGTTAGCACTTTGGTGTCATTTGGTACTTAACCATTCTTACGGTTACATTGGCCCAATAACCAACAGATGCAGTAAGAACCGTGAAATGGGGCAGGTTCCCAATACTGCTGTTACTGCCGTACTATTTGTGTGCAAAGATATCATTCTAGCCAGTCGTTACAAGCCACTTCATGTACTATAGACTTCAAGTAAAGGCATCAGTCTGTATGGTAGTCAGTCTAACCTGTAGAGCCGACTGATCCTGATCATTGTCCCTCTCTAGACTGTTGTTGAAATCTCCCGTCAGCACCTCTATGGTCAGCTCCAACAGCATCCGATATGCTTGCAAATCCTTGTTCTCTGTAAAACATAGGATAACGTCAGAATACGACAAATACAAGCAATTTGACTAGATAAAACCACATATTAAGTCACGCAGTAAAAAAAAACACATGCAAGTTCACACTTACTTTAAAAGCTGTTCTAGTTCCCTTTTGATTTTGGTGACAACTGGTGGACCCTGATAGGTTAAAGCGGTGTACAACTGGACCAATGAGGCTCCAGCACAGATCTTGTCCAGGGCATCTTGTCCACTGGCTACACCCCCAACTCCAATGATTGGCACCTTACCTTCAATGAGAAAGAGCAATACTGGGTGAATAAAGAGAACATTCTATACACCCCAGCCCACAATCAATCAATCAATCAGGCCAGTATCAGCTGCAGCAGTGTTATGATGATCCTTCACGGAGCCTACCTACCTTTTGTCAAGCTGTACATCTCTCTCACAGTGCGTGTAGAGAGCTCCTTGATGGGCTGGCCGCTCAACCCTCCCACCTCTTTACTCTGGGGGTCCTGTAGGGTCTCAGGCCTGGATACTGTGGTGTTGGACACCAACAGCCCATCCACACCAAGCTAAAACACAAACCATGATTACCTATTTGACATTACCCCATAACACCACATCAAACAAATTTAGGCAATCCAATCATTGAGAATTAAGATGAACAAATCCTAACTTTTTTTTTCATGATACAGACACTTGTAACCCATCTGTTAAAAAGGGAGTCCTGTATTCTATTGGAGTTAGTGTAGCATCCTAATTGTTCCAGGCACACTTGAACGAATACACTCAGGCTGCGTTTAGACAGGAAGCCCAATTCTGATATTTTTTTCACTAATTGGTCTTTTGACCAATCAGATTAGCTCTGAAAAAGATTGGATGTGAAAAGATTAGTGGGAAAAAGATCAGAATTTGGCCATCAATGTTGGGACACAGCTCACCAATGGACTGTCTGACACAGATTTACTGTAACGTATCTAATACTCTTCAAATATTTGCTGTGCTTTCTATCGGTCTCCCTTTTCCCATTTGGAGTCTGTCCACTTCCATGAACACAGAAAAACTCCTCCAGTCCCCTTAACATAGAGAGTGGAGTGGAGGCAACACTAATGCATTCAAATCAATTTGGTGATATAAGTCCACTGCTGGCTAAGACCCACGGCAGCAGGACTGCTCTGATGACGCCTACAGAACACAAGCTGACTACGTGAGTGGGGTGAGAAGTGTGGCAAGGAAGATGAGCAAACAGGAGAAACACGGATGACCAAAGTAAGCAGCCCCAAGTCATTGGGGGCTATATACTGTAGGTTAAGGCTTGGTTGAGTAGGCTACATAGAGAGGCCCACAGGATCACACTGACCCCTGTGTGGCTAGGCCTCTGACTGACCCCTGTGTGGCTAGGCCTCTGACTGACCCCTGTGTGGCTAGGCCTCTGACTGACCCCTGTGTGGCTAGGCCTCTGACTGACCCCTGTGTGGCTAGGCCTCTGACTGACCCCTGTGTGGCTAGGCCTCTGACTGACCCCTGTGTGGCTAGGCCTCTGACTGACCCCTGTGTGGCTAGGCCTCTGACTGACCCCTGTGTGGCTAGGCCTCTGACTGACCCCTGTGTGGCTAGGCCTCTGACTGACCCCTGTGTGGCTAGGCCTCTGACTGACCCCTGTGTGGCTAGGCCTCTGACTGACCTCTGTGACCACATCAGCAATGTCCTGCTTGTCCTGGGCGGTGAGGTCAGGGGCGATCTTTACCAGTACAGGTGGCCTGCTCCCCCCCTGTAGGGCATCACGCTCCTTCAGCACCTGGATGGGAGAGGGGGAACAGGGGGGGAAGACAGGAGGGTACAGGGATATATACATGAGCCACCACAGACACACAATCAATGATATCCATCACATCCACACAGGTCAATGAGATGTGACAATGTACAGCACAACATGAAGACCAAACAACGGCAATACACCTAAGCAGTTTTCTCTAAGGTTATTCGTGTTCAATCCAAACAGTGCTGTGCTTGCTTGCTTGTGTGATGTGTATGTTGTCTAAATGGGAAGTCAATTATCTTTTGACATAGAAATCCATATTAAAACATCACCAGCTATGTCAATAAAGTTGAACTGAACAGAAACACCAGACTTCAATAAAGGAAAAGTTGCAACAACATGCTCTCTGGAAAGCCAATGATACATACACTACAAACATAAAATAAATACAATTTATGATATCACATTTGAGTGTGACATCCTGGTTAAATAAAATATAAATAAATCATATCTAGGTCAGTCAAACATTGCCAGCCACTGACCTTGCACAGCAGTTTTCGCAGTTCCCCTTTCCCCTGCAGGTCCCTGAGGCCTGGGGTGTTGGGGCTGCTCACGTTCACCACCAGGTAATCAGCCAGCGGGCCCAGCGCCCGCACCCCCTCCTGGTAGTCTGCCACTGCATCCTGGGACAGCTTGTTCTTTCCCAGGTTGATGCCCAGGGGCAGGCCAGCTAAAAACACACAGACAGCAGCATATATTCCAGTGATGAGTCCCTGGGAGAGGTTAAGGTCAGAACGTAAATAGAATGCATGGGAGTGAATTAAGAGAAAACAGACAGGCCGCAAGCGTCAACTGCGTCACGAGCGTATAGCGCATCAAATTACGCCTTGATCACATCGACAGCGTCATTGTGTTTTGGTATGCCAGAAGTCCATTAATTTCCAATGGAACGCTGTGTTCGCCTTACAGCATTGAGTTGCAGAGGCAGTTGCAGTACGTTCTGTGTGGTGCATAAGTTGGATTTATCGAACGTATGCGTCAAACTGTATGCTTAGACGGCTTGACAGAAATGGTAGCAGAAGGTGAATGTTGAACTTTTGTTGCACACATATCCAGATGATGCGGTGTACCATTTTGCGCAATAACGCTGTCGGTGTGATCGAGACGTTAGGAAGCAAGAAAATTTTCTCGCGTCTACGCAGAACAATGCTGGTAAAATGAGCTGATAAATTGTCCAAAAATAGACTGTTGGTGCATTGTTACCTCTGGAATTGTGAAATGTATAGTTAAAAAGTGTCTATTTAGTGTTCATAAGTTTAACTGCAAGCCAACATTATGTAGGCCTATAGGCTAGTCCTTATGAAAAACGGTGTAGCAATGCATGAACGCAATGACATTCTACATTTATAAACTGGATTGTGTTTCTGAATTATATATCTCGTTGTCAATGTCATATCTTGACAGTATCACCGTTGTTGCTTACAGCCGATTGGATTGAAATACAGTTCAAACAATGTGCATGGTTAGTGAGTGCCTTAGTTCAAATTAATGAAATCTGTTCCAGAGATTGAGTGGTTCGTTTGTAGAAAGGGAATTCTAGGTATTGTTATGATCTTCCCTACTTTGCTAAGTAAAGTTGTATGGTTAAAAAGTAAATTGGTTGTAGGCTATGGTTTATCTGACAAATAGACTACCTATTTGAAAACAATACAGCAGTCTACCTGTTTTGATTTAGATCATGGGCATATAGTCCAGGCTACTATGGCTGGAAAACTTGAGGAATGAGGTAACTAAGATTTCAAGAGAGTATACAACTGTTTATAATCGCTTTCCATGACAAATACGGCTTAATAACTGGTTTACGGTACGTGGTCTATGTGAATTAATGCTTGCTGTTCTCGCACGCGCAAATTCACGCCGTTGACGGACATCACCCCGTGTGATTTTGGCTTAATGTCCCAATCTAAATCAGTGGGGACATTTTGTTACTAATGCTCTATTTTACTGAAAATATGGCAAATTGAATTAAATCAAACTTGAAACTTGAACCAAATGCTCTTCATTAAAGATATAAAGCAATGTTTTAAAAATACAACAGTCAAAATGTTTTGTCGATAACACTTGACAAAAACATTTCAGTTGTTTGCTTTTTGTCTGTCAATACAAGACTGTATAGGCTAGTACTGTTCCGACTTGGATAATCATTTGTAAGCGTTTACTAGCTCCTCTGCCAGAGTGTGATTGGTATTAGGAACATCTCTGAGCCTGGGGAAAGATAATGTCCATATAAAATAGGGGCAGAGGATTAGTGTAGTGTAATTGGCTGTGTGCCCCTGAGACATTTATCAGTGCGCTGTCAAACCTATCAGTCTGACAGACAAGACAGAAACATGAGTTGTCTCTCTAGTACCTTTAGTCAGCTCTACCTGGGTGCCTTCTCTTGCCTTTAGTCTCTCCTGTGCTGCTGCAAGACCACAGCTGTTGAACCCATATCTGAAACATACCCACAACATAATCAAGAGGTTAAGTTTATGTAATACACAAAATGCCATACATGTCAAAAAAGCAACTATCAGCAATTTAGGATCCATTCCTTTATCATGCCATTATGATACAGTATGTGTTTATCCCTGACTGTCTAGAGTGCATATTCAATTCATTTGATTACTAAAATCCATGATACATGAAATCCAGATGTGTTTTTTGCCAAAATAATTTCAGTCAGTGGAGTAAAACTGTAATAAACACCACCATATTGAAATGAGGCCTTTATTTCATGCTCTTCTTATGCACTCTTATTGACTTTAACTTCTGGGAAGCTGTGTTGTTGTACACCGAGTAGTCAAAGAAGAACTCTGGCATATTAATATATGAGAGGTTTGTTAGTCTGAGCACCTCACATACCTGCATATGGTCCATGCTAAATGGAATTAATCATATTGATTCTAGCCTAATATACGAATGCTTATTGTCATTTACTGACTACATGACATCAAAGAAAAACAACGTGGCTCCATCCACAGTGAGCTCCAAAAGTATTAGGACAGTGACAAATGTGTTGCTGTTTTGGCTCTGTACTCCTGCACTTTTGATTTGAAATGATACAATTAAAGTGCAGACTGTCAGCTTTAGTTTGAGGGTATTTTCATCCATATCGGGTGAACCATTTAGAAATTACAGCACTTTTTGTACAAAAGTATTGGGACAAATTCACTTATATGTGTATTAAAGTAGTAAAGAGTTAAGTATTTGGTCCCATATTCATAGCACGCTATGACGACATCAAGTTTGTGACTCCACAAATTTGTTGGATGCATTTGCTGTTCAGATTATTCTTTGCCCAATAGAAATGAATGGTAAATAATGTATTGTGTCATTTGAGTCACTTTTATTGTAAGTAAGAATATAATATGTTTTTAAACACTTCTACATTAATGTGGATGCTACCATGATTACGGAAAATCCTGAATGAATTGTGAATAATGATGAGTGAGAAAGTTAGACGCACAAATATCATACCGCCAAGACATGCTATTCTCTCACCATTACAATAACAGGGGAGGTTAGCATTTAGTTTTTGGTGGTGTGGGGGGGATATGATACTGTATTTGTGCGTCTAACTTTCTCACTCATCATTATTCACAATTCATTCAGGATTATCCGTAATCATGGTAGGATCCACATTAATGTAGAAGTGTTTAGAAACATATTCTATTCTTATTTACAATAAAAGTGACCAAAATGAGACAATACATTATTTACCATTCATTTCTATTGGGCACAAAATAATCTGAAACAACCAAAACAAACAGCAAAAACAAATTTGTAGAGTCACAAGCTTGATATAGTCATTGTGTGCTATGAATATGGGATCAAATACTAAACTTTTTACTACTTTAATATACATACTGTAAGTGAATTTGTCCCAATACTTTTGGTCCCCTAAAATGGGGAAACTACATACAGAAAGTGCTGTAATTTCTAAACCGTTCACCTGATATGGACGAAAATACCCTCAAATTAAAGCTGACAGTCTGCACTTTAACCTCATGGTCATTGTCCCAATACAGAGCCTAAACAACAAAATGGTCATGGTCCTAATACTTTTGGAGCTCACTGTATTAACCCAACTACACTATCGGTCAAAGGTTTTAGAACACCTACTCATTCAAGGGGTTTTCTTTATTTTTACTATTTTCTACATTTTAGAATAACAGTGAAGACATCACAACTATGACATAACATATATGGAATCATGTAGTAACCCAAAAAGTGTTAAACAAATCCAAATATATTTTAAATTTGAGATTCTTCAAATAGCCACCCTTTGCTTTGGTGACAGCTTTGCACACTCTTGGCATTCTCTCAACCAGCTTCATGAGGTAGTCACCTGGAATGCATTTCAATTAACAGGTGTGCCTTCTTAAAAGTTAATTTGTGGAATTTATTTCCTTCTTAATGCGTTTGAGTCAATCAGTTGTGTTGTGACAAGGTAGGGGGGTATACAGAAGATAGCCCTATTTCGTAAAAGAGCAAGTCCATATTATGGCAAGAACAGCTCAAATAAGCAGAGAAACGACAGTCCATCATTACTTTAAGACATGAAGGTCAATCAATACGGAAAATTTCAAAAACGTTGAATGTTTCTTCAAGTGATTTTCCTGGCCTCCCGAGTGGCGCAGCGGTCTAAGGCACTGCATCTCAGTGCTAGAGGCGTCACTACTGACCCTGGTTCGATTCCAGGCTGTATCACAATCCGGCTGTGATTGGGAGTCCCATAGGGCGGCGCACAAGTTGTCTGGGTTTGGCCGGGTTAGGCCGTCATTGTAAATAAGGATTTGTTCTTAACTGACTTGCATAGTTAAATAAAGGTAAAAAAAAAAAATGCAGTCGCAAAAACCATCAAGCGCTATGATGAAACTGGCTCTCATGAGGACCGCGACAAGAATGGAACACCCAGTTACCTCGGCTGCAGAGGATAAGTTCATTAGAGTTACCAGCCTCAGAAATTGCAGCCCAAATAAATGCTTCACAAAGTTCAAGTAACAGACACATCTCAACATCAACTGTTTAGAGGAGACTGTGTGAATCAGGCCTTCATGGTTGAATTGCTGCAAAGAAACCACTACTAAACAACACCAAGAAGAAGAGACTTGCTTGGGCCAAGAAACACGAGCAATGGAAATTTGTCCTTTGGTCTGGAGTCCAAATTGGAGATTTTTGGTTCCAACGGATGATCTCCGCATGTGTATTTCCCACCGTAAATCACAGACACTGTCTGTGATTTATTTAGAATTCAAGGCACACTTAACCAGCATGGCTACCACAGTATTCTGCAGCGATACGCCATCCCATCTGGTTTGGGCTTAGTGAGACTATCATTTGTTTTTCAACAGGACAATGACCCAACACACCTCCAGGCTGTGTAAGGGCTATTTTACCAAGAAGGAGAGTGATGGAGTGCTGCATCAGATGACCTGGCCTCCACAATCCCCCGACCTCAACCCAATTGAGATGGTTTGGGATGAGTCGGACGGCAGAGTGAAGGAAAAGCAGCCAACAAGTGCTCAGCATATGTGGGAACTCCTTCAAGACTGTTGGAAAAGCATTCCAGGTGAAGCTGGTTGAGAGAATGCCAAGAGTGTGCAAAACTGTCATCAAGGCAAACGGTGGCTATTTGAAGAATCTCAAATATAAAATATATTTGGATTTGTTTAACACTTTTATTCTACAATGTAGAAAATAGTAAAAATAAAGAAAAACCCTTGAATGAGTAGGTGTTCTAAAACTTTTGACCGGTAGTGTATGTTGTTGTGCTAGGGCAGTGTCAACGTCAGTCAGCCTGTTTAGAATTTGCTATTCAAAACATTTAAGAAAATTACAGAAAATTATCGCTCCCATCCCTGAAGAAAATGGGATGGTTCAGATTTTTTTTCCCCAGTGGTTTGCTCTTAAATGTTTAGAACGATGTCAAGCACGCATAGACAGCCATGACAACATGCAGACTTCTTTACTGTGTAACAATTATTTACAAATACCTGATTTACGTTTGGATCTGGGCTGCTTTTTCCTGAGCTGAGGATGAACTTCTCCGATAACCAATATGTCCTTTCATATACGCAAAGTACTGTGTTCTAACAACTCATGAATATGTATAACCATGCCATGGCATCTCATTTCACAGCACCTTTCAGAGTATGAAAGCGAGCGCAAGGAGGTGGCAGTGTAACACCCTGATAACAACACAGAATTCACAAGCTAAAAACATTTGTCTATAATGAATGACAGTCAGCCATGCCATGGTTCAGTAGCCATGTCTTATTCATTCAAACCGTACCGGTTGATGACCGCCTGGTCAGTAGTCAGTCTGAACACACGTGGTTTGGGGTTCCCCTCCTGGGGTTTGGGGGTGATGGTCCCCACCTCCACGAAGCCAAAGCCTAGTCTATACAGCCCGTCAACAGCCTCCCCATGCTTGTCAAATCCTGCTGCTATCCCTATGGGGTTCTTGAATTTACGGCCCATGACGTTCACTTCCTGGAGATAAGAATTAACAACACCAGGTATACATTTTGCCTAAATTCCATGGAAGTACATAGTGACCAAAAGAACAGTCACAACTTAGATTAAAAAGGTTTAAAATGAAATTTGACTAGCTAGTTGAGTTATGAGACAGTGGGAGTGAAGGTAATCTCAAACAAAGCATACATTCCGTTCTAATCTTACACCAGCACAAAGGCAATTCAGTGTAAGTGAGGAGAGTCAAAACAGGAATGAACCTAGCCAGGTCAAACCAGCCCGAACATAGCCAAATCAGTTTGCATGCCAGGCTAGAGGACACTTCCTCCCACACTAACCAGTGATGCTGGGTCCTGGTAGTGGTTCTGAGGCACCAGACCCAGGCCGATGAACCTCACAGCCATGACATGGGCTGTCTCTGCTCCCATAATCCTCTGCAGCAAGGGCATGAGCTGGTTGGCGTAGAAGCGCTCATCTCCCACAGCGGTAAGGTAGGAGACAAACAGGACGCTGCCGGACCCTATGATCTTCACTGCGTCCTTCAGACGCTGCAAAGAAAAATAAAACAATGTGATGGGAATAAACTGAAATATGATGTGTACTACTTGGCATACTGTTGTTGAAGCACATCAGGTGAAGTTGCAATAATTGTTCAATCACTAGATGAGGGAGAGTGAACCAGAATACCCAGAGAGGCTACCAGCTTTGAACAACCCAGTGGGTATAATTCAGCATGCCTGAGTCTGTCTAGTCATTCAGCATCCAGCAAACAGTTAACTAGCGTATCACTTAACAAAGGCTGGTTACATGAACAAGCTAGCTAGCCACAGGGTAGCAAGCAAAGTTAGCTAGCTCACTTCATTCAACAACACTCTGATTGTAGTGGCTAACGTGAAGTGGCTACTGTCCAGTTTCGCTTACCAAATAGTCAAAACATTGTTCATGACAAATACAAACGATTAAAACATCACTGTTTCATCAATGATGTTACCTTCAGCTGTCCCGCCATGGATGTTATATCACTTTGAAAATGTCTGGAAGCATTTCTCTCACATTGCCGAGAATCACTTCCTGAATGTAATCTCGCGATAGTTCAAAGGCAGCTCTGAAAATGTCAAATAAGAGTTAAATAATAATAATATGCCATTTAGCAGACGCTTTTATCCAAAGCGACTTACAGTCATGTGTGAATACATTTTTATGTATGGGTGGTCCCGGGGATCGAACCCACTACTCTGGCGTTACAAGCGTCATGCTCTGCCAATTGAGCTACAGAGGACCACAATGATGAGTTCAATGATGATTCTGCATAATAAACATTCCAATTTGTTATGATGAATATAACAAATTAATATGAATATGACAAAGGACTCATTAGTAACTCTAGTAATTCTCTGCATAAATGTGCACAAATAAGATAAAATAAAATGGACGATTGAAATTAAAGGATAGCGTACGAGCCTAAATTAATTTCATAAACCAATTGAAAACCAAAGATGTATTGTTACAACCCTGTTCAATGTCAATATTAGGCTACATCAAATTGACTTGTAAAGTGGAGTAGATTGGGAAAGGTTTTTCTTCAACATTTCTGCCCTTGAGTGACGTAAAGGCACTTTTTCACTTTGCATGTTGTTTGAGTGTCTGCAGTGATTTTCCTAATGTAGTAAGAGTGTATTCACCATTTTTCGAAAGAAAGCTTTCTAATTTCCATAAGATGGGCAGTGTGCCTTTCTTCTGAGAGCAGTACTTGTTGCAGTTTGTAGGCTACCATAGCTCTACCATCTATAATGGATTTGTTCATACAAGCCTCTTTCTTTTTGTGGATTTCTGTTGGGATTGTATCTACGGTCAGTACACCATGCAGTGAAGATGATGCAGATAATGCCACTTCTATAGAATTCAAACATGTGTTCAGGAATATGGCCTATGAGTTTTCTCAAAAGCCAAAGAGTTGGTCTCAAGCCCATGAGTCCTGCAAGGAGCGAGGAGGGAAACTTCTGAGGGACCTGAACTGCAAGACTAAGAGCTTTCTTCAGGACTTCTCAAAAGAGAGACACACAAAGGACCTCACTTGGTGGGTGGCTACGGGGATGTTAGGGCAGTACCAGGGGCCGGTGATTGGTGAGTAAAAATACTGGTAAACCACTAGAAAATACCTCATGAGCTCAGTTCAAGTGTCGTACCCCTATCAAAACCCAAAATATAAGCTTGTTTTACTCCAATGTTTGTAAACAAACTAAATGTAAAACAAAACACTGTATAGCCTCAAAACATGTTTAAAACTATAATGTTGATATCATGGATGGCCAGTCCTTGTATTCATAGCCCTGTCTATGAATTTGACAGTGGTTACCCACTGGACACAGATATCAGTTCCACGTCAAGTTTTGATTTACATTTGGTTGAGTTGTCAACTTACATGAATTCAACATGAAATCAAAAGAAAAATGTCACCATGTCATTGAGTTTATATTAAAATTTGGGTGAAAAAAAAGACAAAATGCCCTTACGTTGATGACTTTTTAAATAATCCAATCAGTTTTTCACATTGATTCAACTTCATCACCTTGAATTTTTTTGTTGAAATTATCTGGGAACAACATAGATTCAACCAGTTTTTGCCCAGTGGGTACATTTCTCCAGCCCCATCCCTCAGCTTTTTAGTGAAACAGTGGCGGGGATTACGCTTTGTTATTGTTTCAACTGCTGATTGCCGGTTTAAGCTCTCTGTGAACCATGAGAATTGAATTGAATTTGTAATTAAATGCTAAAGTTTAGTAATGATAATTAAGCCACTGCTTATGGTCATAAAGGAATTTCTGAGCTGTACAGAGGCACTTTGTAAATGACAAGCATGTCTTAACTGGAAACTCTGACAGCTACCATGTGAGAAGCACGTCTTCACTATTGACAGATTATCAGTATCAAATGATATCAGCGAAATCCATTATTTTCATAAGCTCATATAATATAACATATTTCCACCATAGTCTTGGAACATAGCCATAGGGTAAGCTTAGAACCAAGCTTTCACACTTGATCCATCAGCTATAATATATGGACATTTTAAATAATACATTGTTGTTGGAAAACAGAATATTAAAATAACAGTATTATAAGGAAAACAGTACATTTCATAGCTTTTCAATAATTGTTTCATGTGTATGTAGTGTATAATGCTACAGGAGAGAATGGTGCTTCTAAGGGGAATGGGAGTACCCCGCTCCTCTGCACATATGTGATGATGGATCCCTTTCAGCTGGTGACCTCAACCAACTGCAGTGCCCGGCGTGGATACCTCTGCACCCTGGGTACAACACCTTCAGTAACCCCATTTTAACATGCCTTAAAAAAACAGATATGTTGCAACGTTTTCTTTCATTATTTAGTGTAGAGGCCTCAATGATATCCTGCATGAAATTTGTGCTGTATAATTCTTGTTCTACAGATTTGAATTTCTCTTCAAATGCATCAAAGAGTATGGTAAGTGGCTTTTATTAGTTGGCTTTATCCGTTGTTGTAATCCTATGGTGCAGTGTCAGTAAAGGTATTATGAATTTGAATGGTTCTTGTTGACTTCCATAGGACAAACAAGGCGCAAGTGGCAAATCAAGACTCCAGAGAAGCCATCAAATTAAAGTCAACCGTGAGTTGGTGGGAAGTATGGTGGCAAATTTGTTTCACCGTTTTAACCAATCATGTACTTCCATGAACTAAACGTCTCGCTCTCTCTCTCTCTCTCTCTCTCTCTCTCCCCTTCTCTCTCTCTCTCTCTCTCTCTCTCCCCCCCCTCTCTCTCTCTCTCTCCCCCCCTCTCTCTCTCTCTCCTCCTCCTCCTCCCCCCTCTCTCTCTCTCTCTCTCTCTCTCTCTCTCTCTCCCCCCCCCCCTCTCTCTCTCTCGCTCTCCCCCCCCCCCCTCTCTCTCTCGCTTATCCTACAGGTATGTCAAGGAGTCTGTTTAGCATGGAGAATCAGGTGACCAATGTGGATGAGCTCCTCAAGGTCAGAAATGCTGCTGTGTTAAAAGTGCAGTGTGATATTTGTCACAATTATAGTTTTCAGTGGTTGGGAGTTTTATAGTCTTATCCTCTGTTTTGTTTCAGGAGGCTCAAATGAAACTGGAAAGAATGGAAATGGCTATAGGAGAGCCTACAGACGCCAACGGGGTAAAGTATCACAATGACGATGGACATGTAGTAAGAGGGGTGTGGTCAGTGGAGTAGATTACAGAGTTTAGGGCCACTGGAACCTTCAGTCAAAGTGCTCTCTCTCACCACAGAGATGTATTGTTATCAAATCAGCAAACAGTGAATATGATTAAATAAGTGATAGTGCTTAATCTGGTTAATTTGGGCCTAACCTATGTTCCCTTCTTCAGCAGATAAAATACCTTGAGCTTCTACTACAGGGAGCCCAGCTACTGTTTCCAAGTAATTTGAAATTAGATAACACGACTGCTAGCCTCATCATCAACTGCGCTGGGGGAGTCATACTCCTCAAAATGAAAAGATGTGGCGTGGACAGTGACACTAATGTGGTGGGTCAAGCAATTATAACTTTCATCTTTATTCCACAGTAGGTGCATGTAAAATGTTAATGTATGCCTACATACTACTGTAAACCAACAGTATACATCTGTTTTTAGTGTTGGGACATATGACAAAAGTGGAGGTCATAGATAGGGCATTTCGCTGATGTTCTGCTGTCTTCAAACAGGACAAGGAAATGTTTGATTTGGCCTTTGAGATTTATAAGGCAGTAAGCTTAGTGGTGACCACAGAATCTAATGAGCCCTTCTTCATGAAGCACCCAACAGGCAGCATCTACCAGATCAGGTTAGTGTTTACAACCCGGGGCTCCTCCATCTCACTCATTGGTATAGCCTCCAATTCTACAATCTTAGAAAAAAGGGTTCTAAAATGGTTCTTTGCGGAGGGATAGGGTTCTACAAAGAACCGTTTTCATCTGAAGAAACCTTTTTGAAAGACAATGGTTTTTTGTAAGGCAAATAGTTCTACCTAGAACCTTTTTCATACTCATAACCGTAGTTCTACATAGAACCCTTCTTAATCTGAGTAAGCTTTATTATTATTTTTATTTTTCTAACATTTTAGCATTCGGAGTTTGAGTAATCTGATAAATGTAAAAAAGATAGGTGTGAGAATGTTTTAAACTGTACCTATATGGGAATATTTGTGTATTTATCTGGTATTCCATTAATAATTTCTAGTGTTGATTCAGGAGTTAAATTAACAATCAGTTGTGTAAAAGAGCCCCAGTGTTGGTGTTAATAACCAGAGTTAAATATCATACATATTCCTAAATAAATTGTGGGTGCAAGTTGTGGGCGATTGAAAGTGCCAATTGTTGGATATCCTCACTCTGGCTGGATTCCAATAGGAACTACACATCACTTTGCAAGCCAGCATAATGTGGCCTGTAAACCAGGAGTTTCTTGACACCACTGTGTTAGGGTATAACTAATCCCTCAAAGAAAGGCCTTATGATAAACGTAATGTATTGTCATAAAGAGTTTAATTTTAAAGGATTATAAAACTGGTGGAAACCGTTCATTGAGGGTTCTAGGAAGAACTCTTCAAAGATATAAGGGTTCTCGGTAGAACCCTTCATAGAGGGTTCTAGATAGAACCTTTAGAGGATAAAAGGGTTCTTGGTAGAACCCTTCATAGAGGGTTCTAGGCAGAACCCTTCATAGAGGTTTCTACCTAGCAACAAAAAGGGTTCCCCTATGGGGACAAGCCAAAGAACCCTATATGGTTCTACTTAGCACCAGTAAAACTATGCATCTTGCTGTCCTCTACTTGAATGTGAGCCACCTGACTCTTGTCTCGTCTCCCTCAGCCTCACCCCATCACAAATGGATAACAAGGTTCTAGGGTCAGAGGACGATGCATACATCAAGCTTCCATCTTTCTCTGCATTGAATTCCTCTCTGAAAAACCTCTCAGTTGTTAATGTACAGGTCTGTACGATAAACAACATTGATGATGCTGTTTTGTTGTGCAAATAGTATTTTATTCTGATATTTTTTTTATTCCTCTCAGGTGACCACTTTTATAGGCAGCCCATTTCCGTCGACTGAAAATATCACAGGAACAGTGTGTACTATTGTACTAAGGGATGGATTGAAGGAAATCGGTGTACAAAACTTGACAGAGCTAATTGAGGTAGGCTACAGGATAGGCCAACTTCTTTAACTTTAATCTGCTGTCATTTCATCCTCGTTTCCCTAACAAAGACGAGGGAACCAATGTAAATAGGTTTGGTTGTTTCTCTCCCTTCTCTATAGATCATTCTGCCACGCCCAGATGCTCCTGTGCTCTCTGGCACGACTGTATCCTTGGAGGAAGGGGCTCGGGTTGGGACCTCTTTCAACACTACGGACCCCAACATCACAGTCATATTCACCGTAGAGCCCAGTGTCAATGTGTCCATACAGCTGCTGCTGGGCCTGGGCTCCCCACCCAATGACACCCATTATAAACACCGTACCGTCCTGACACAAACAGGTAGAGGAGGATTTCACCACCATATTTACTGCTAGGCATAACAATACATCCGCTGTGCTTCTGCTTTCAGTCAATCTAGCTGTCTGGTATGTACGTAGATTCACATAGTACTTTGATATTCATGGTGACTCACAAGCTTTAAGACATGTCGGTCCGACATTTCACACTGTAATTGGAGGTCGGGCTCTCAAAGGTACTGTTGGTTTGCTTTCTTAGTCTGGGTGGTACATAGTAAGCCATGTTCATAGCCTACTGTGGTCTTTCAGAGGGTTATCGCTGGCTGGTCACCCCTGAGATGATGGAAAAGGAAATAGGCACCTGGTATGTGAATGCCAGTCTGTTTAACGCAACGTGGAGCAAGGGCCTGACACTACAGATCACCACCTTCACCACTAAGTGCATGTACTGGAACACTAAACAGCTGAGCTGGAGCATAGCTGGCTGCTGGGTGAGGCTGCTATTAAAGACATCAGTTTATGAACAAACCCAATTGGTCAGTGTAGGTATGTGTGTTTGTGACATTGGGTTTGTCTGTGTTGTCTTGTTCTAGGTGGGTATACAGTCAACTCCCAGGATGACACATTGTCTGTGTAACCACCTGTCATCGTTTGGGAGCTCTTTCATTGTGATGCCCAACTACGTGGACGTGTCGCTTACAGTTCAGTACTTTTCAAAAGTGAATGAGAACTATGTGGTGGTGGTGTTGCTCTCTGCCTTCTTTGGCCTGTACCTGGTCACTCTGCTCTGGGCCTGCTATGCAGACAGGAGGGCACTCACCAGGGTGAGTCTATCAAGGCGTGTACAAACACACACACACACACACACACATACACACACATACACACACATACACACACACTCACTGAAACACTTGTTTTGTTCACAGAGGAAGATGACACTCCTGAAGGATAACCACCCATGTGCCAGTTATAACTACCTACTGAATGTCCAGACTGGCAGTCGGAGAGGGGCGGGTACCTCTGCCAATGTAAGATGGGGTGGTAACTGAATAGATCCTTCATTCATTTCTGTGGTCAGTTTACTTAGCATAGGAATATCAATACCAGTATCCATGCTAATCAGAGTATTTTTTTATGTAGGTTACAGTCAAGTTGTTTGGCACAGAGGGGGAAAGCGAGCCCCACCACCTAAGTGACCCTGATAAACCAGTATTTGAGAGAAGGGGTGTGGACTTGTTCCTGGTGACCACACCCTTTCCCCTAGGGGAGCTGACGGGCATCCAGCTGTGCCATGACAACTCTGGGGGGCATCCTTCCTGGTAAGCAGCAGGGCAGATCACACCATCATCCTTGTAATTATTATGACTTTTGTTTAAGTCAAGATCTTTTTGAAATCACTCCATACTTTCCATTGGCATGTTTACAAATGATTTGTGGCACACTGAACTCTTAGGTTCTGTTAAGAACCTGCAGGGACAACTAGGACCTATAAATACTGGGCTGTTAAAGTAGTTTAGGGGTGACATTATCAAGCTTTGCTCCCCTCACCCTAGGAGACCTGGTTGAGTTTCATCACAATGACACTTCAAAATATTATCTTTGCCTCCTCCTCTCCTAAAATGCCCCTTTAACTGGCTGTTTAACACCTGTCTTAAAGGTCTAATGCTGCCGTTTTGATCTCAATATCTAATCATTTCTGGGTAACAATTAAGTACCTTGATTGTTTTCAATGAAAATTGACAACCAAAAAAAAAAAGCTTCTTAGCAAAGAATTTTGCTAGGACTCTCTGGGAGTGGGGAGGGGAAACATAGCTGTTATTGGGAGAGAGGTTTGGAACTCTCTTTCTTATTGGACTATTGTCACCAGGCAGGCCAAAACTCCATCCCACCAAAACAGGCTGAAATTCCAGGCTGTCTTTTTAAACAGCTCTTACACTAAAAGGCATTATCATCAATTTCACAGTATTTTTCCAACCTCATAGTGTGGAAATATAAAACACAGGAAAATCAAGGTTTTGACTGCACTGGGCCTTTAAATACCACAACGAAAAACATTGCAACCCATGCTATGCTGGCAGGGACTTGTTTTAGTTTCTATCTCTACAGTCTAGGAATCTCTATCTCTACACTGAGGGAATAATACATAGTTTCCTGAGTGTGACGTCACGTTTCCTCCCACCAGGTATCTCAACAAGGTGACAATCCAAGACCTGCAGACACAGAAGGTTTGGCACTTCCTGTCCTCATCATGGCTGAGCTCCGACAGAGGGAAGGGGCTGACCAAGAAGACCCTCAATGCTGCCAAGAAGAATGAGATCAGAAGCTTTAGGTGACTGACCAGAGTACAATGTTACAATATTTATGTAGAGGATTTCTAAGCAAGATCAAACATCTTGCAATGTGTCATGGATTGTTAATTCTGAACCCTTGTATCCTAGTCTGCTTTTCCAATGTAATATCCATGACTTCCACCCTGGTCATCCTCTAATGTCCCACACTTTCTATGTCCTAGAAATATTTTCCAGACCAGGACGTCGACAGGCTTCAGAGATCAGCACATCTGGGTGTCCATCATAGACCCTCCCTGGCGTAGCCCCTTCACCCGAGCACAGAGGGTGTCCTGCTGCATGAGCCTCCTGCTCTGCACCATGGCCATCAACATCGCCTTCTGGAAGATCCCCAAAAACCAGCAGTCTCCTGTCATCGTCACCATTGGTAAATCCATAGAGATACAACATTATATTGGGAACTGGATAAGTCCTTGTGGGTGAGTTAATCAGTCCTCTTTTGTGACTGTGCCGTTCATAGCCCACAGCTAATGAGCTGCCTCTGATAAGGATGGGCAATTTTATTCTCCACTCACATAGAATTGGGACATTTTGGCTACCGGAAAAAGTATTTTCTACAGTAAAAAGAGAGCAGTGCAATACATGGGAATTACGATTAGCCTGCAATATGGATGATAACATATCGGACTTTTTAGATGCAGCTGCGTTAAGTATCAAAGACAAGGACTTGTCTCAGTTATAAATGCCAGGTCCCATTCAAGGCTTTTTTGTCCTTGGTGTTCACAGAGTTACAAGGACTAGTAGTTGTAGGCAGTGGATGGCTCCTCATAACCCTTCAATGGACAACGTTTCAGCCACATTCTTTCAACTATCCAGCCCTGAAAGACCTTGTCACACAGCACATAGTGGTTATTCAATGACCCCAAGCCCTTGATAAACCTTTCATATGGCTGAGACATACTTGACCCAGAACAACACAACAAGTGTTCAGACATTGAATTATATATTGAGTGATATAGCCTCTGTTATTGTGCCTTGACTCCATAATGGTGTGTGTTTTCTTGTCCCAGGTTCGTTAGAGGTCACTTGGGAGGAGATCATGGTGGGGGTGGAAAGCGGTTTGCTCATGTTCCCCATCAACATCCTCATCATCACCATATTCCGCAGTATCAAGCCACGATTCCTCCAACCAAAGGAGAAAACCCACGATATGCAGGGCCTGAAACCCATTGCTGTTACCATGCCAACCATTCTTAAGGTCCTCTCTTTACATGTTCAAAAGAAAGTGTTTTTGCTGTGTTATAGTTCAGCTCCATACTTTATCTATAACCTTCAAACACTCCTTTTGTTTATTCCTTTAAGCTGTGCCTTTGTCTTACCTTCAAGGCCATACCTTATGTTATTGGTTATAGCAACCAATAAGTTGTTCTGTCCTTAAGTACTGTATTCCTGTGTATTGTGTCCCTATCTAGGACACAGAGGAGATGGTGAATCTGCTCTGTAAGAGCCAGAGGAACAAAGTGCCTGAGCTAGAGAAGAAGCCGGAGTCATGCGATGACCTTTGCTCAGCCTTGGACAGAGTGCAAGGGGTCATTCAGCTTATGCAAGGTGCTTCACTGACACTGCAGGAGCAACCTTAGAAGTCACATTAAAGCAATAGTTGGAATTGCAGTCACGTAATTCCAGTTCACACAGGTTTTGATATCATTGTAATTGTTGGAGATGTCTTGAAATTTGACATATCTGCCTTCGTATCACTAGGGTTGAGTGAGAGTGACCCACACTGGGTCTACTGCAGCAAGTTTGTCATGTACTTCCTCCACCACCTGTCCATGTGCCTGGAGCGGCTGGATGAGAGTGCCTTCCCCACCCCAGAGGCCCGTCAACACATCCTGAACACCGTCCACCTGCTACTGAAGACGTCTGAGATGGTTTTTACCAGCCACATGGCTTACAGGTTGGACAATATACCTGTGCAGAGAGGGGAATATAAATAACATTAAAAGATTGGCTTTTCAAAAAAACACTTTACACGTCATTCTCTTCCTCTCAATTTCCAATACAGTTGAATTGCTCTGTATTTGTGTGAATATCGTTGTCGTACATTACTCTGACCAAGTACCTAAACAGACTTGTGTTTCCTCTGTGACTCCTCTCCAAGTCCTGCCCGTGTTGCTAAGGAGAAAAGGAAAAGCTCAAGCTGCTGGCTACCCTGGTGGTTTGTGTTCGTGGGCTGGTTCTTGCTCGTCTCCATCAGTGTTGTGTCCACGTACTTCACCCTGATGTACGGCTTTGCCTATGGGAAGGAGAAGTCCATCCAGTGGGTTATCTCTTTGGCCATGTCCCTCTTCCAGAGCATCTTCATCATGCAGCCTCTTAAGGTAAGACCAGGGCTCTATATCTTACATGAATAACATAGTCCTGAAGTTCTGTTCAATCAGTCAATTATCAGCAGATGTAAAAACAAGAATTTCATTTGATTCTTGGGTTTATTCTCAGGTGATTGGCATGGCGATCTTCTTTGCCCTCCTCCTCAAGCCAGTGGCAGTAGAAGACAGTGAGGAGGTTGGACTACTCCTGAAAGGTAAGATAATCTACCACAGAATACCTACTGTACAGGGTTCTCACAAAACCATTATGCTTTACCTTAGTGACAGTTTTGCAAAGGCATACTTTATCTGTGTTTCTCAGTACTAGTACTCAGAAAAGGCAATTACATCAACCCAACTCTCAGTATTGATCAAGGGTTTTACAGAGAGAGAAGGGTTACAGTCAGTATCTAAAGTGACTGTCATAGAGAGAGTCAAAGAAAATGTGGGGGGTTTTCATGTCCACACCTACTCTCATGCAGATATACAACAAAGCCTTGGATATGAATGGCTTCTGTCAAACTATTGAAACCTGTCTATTCTGCATAATTAATAGTATATGCATGTTAGACTGGAATAGAGCTGTAAGTCTGTTTTACTCTGAAATAGTATGAGAAGCATAGTATTTTGGTAGTATTTTGCTGCTATTTTGGCCAGGCCTCTATTGCAAAATAGAATTTTAATATCAATGAGACTAACCTGGTAAAATAAAGGTTAAAAACATTTAAAAATATAAAAACCTGTGTTAGTATGTCACACCATGACATTGTGCCTGAGAGGCTCACAGGTATTCTGTTCTGTTGAGCTTCCCTTCTGAGATGTTGAAAAGAAAAGTCCTTACAAAAAGGCCCGTCTTATCTGTTTTACAGAACAACAGGAAATGTGTAAATTGTACTCGGGCAGGGAGATACACTGAGGAAACACAATTTAGCTTGACATGCTGTCTCCAGAGGATCAATGGGGTTGGAAGGCCTGATGCCCTACAACAGACATCCTCTGCTCTGCTGCACTGACTATCAATGTGGCAAATTGAGAATATAAGTTATTTGAAAATACAGTTGTAATGTTTTCATTGAATACTTGTTACTCTTATCTTATAAGAAATGTATAAAGCATAATATGTATGAATGTATTGAAAACTATTGTATCATTGAAATTGTAATATTTTTAATATGTTGATAGTTAGAAACGTTTATTCTTGTGCGTTGTATGAACTTACTCAATGTATGGAATTACTCTATATTATATTTATTTTATCACAAACTGCTGATATATTGTTTTACACTGTTCATTTATAATTACTTTTAAGTAACACCTCCAAAATCATTGTCACCCAAGACTGAATAACATAAATAATACAAAACCTGAGCTATATTGAATGTTTTATGAGATTAAATAACACATTGGGAAGGATCATAGACCATTCCTCCATACATAATCTTTCCAGATCCTTGATATCCTTCGGTCTGAGATTATGGACTACCCTCTTCAGTTCAAACCTCAGGTTTTCAATGGGGTTCAAGTCGGGAGACTGAGATGGCCATTGCAAAATGTAATTTGTTTGGTAAATTAATCATTTCTTTGTGGATTTTTATGTGTGCTTGGGGTCATTGTCTTGCTGGAAGATCCAAGTTTTAGCCAAACAACTGTCCCTGTACTTTGTACAGTTCATGATACTGTTCGTTGACCTTAACAAGGGCCCTAGGACCAGTGGAAGCAAAACCGCCCCATAAAATCAAACCGTCTTCCTCACCGTGAGTAGGGACAAGATACACTTGGGTCCTTTGCCAGGCAACTTCACCACTGCGCCAGTGGTTTTAAACTTCTTAATTGTTGCCATAATAGTTGTTAGTGGTATATGTATATATATATACAGTGGGGAAAAAAGTATTTAGTCAGCCACCAATTGTGCAAGTTCTCCCACTTAAAAAGATGAGAGAGGCCTGTAATTTTCATTATAGGTACACGTCAACTATGACAGACAAATTGAGAGAAAAAAATCCAGAAAATCACATTGTAGGATTTTTAATGAATTTATTTGCAAATTATGGTGGAAAATAAGTATTTGGTCACCTACAAACAAGCAAGATTTCTGGCTCTCACAGACCTGTAACTTCTTCTTTAAGAGGCTCCTCTGTCCTCCACTCGTTACCTGTATTAATGGCACCGGTTTGAACTTGTTATCAGTATAAAAGACACCTGTCCACAACCTCAAACAGTCACACTCCAAACTCCACTATGGCCAAGACCAAAGAGCTGTCAAAGGACACCAGAAACAAAATTGTAGACCTGCACCAGGCTGGGAAGACTGAATCTGCAATAGGTAAGCAGCTTGGTTTGAAGAAATCAACTGTGGGAGCAATTATTAGGAAATGGAAGACATACAAGACCACTGATAATCTCCCTCGATCTGGGGCTCCACGCAAGATCTCACCCCATGGGGTCAAAATGATCACAAGAACGGTGAGCAAAAATCCCAGAACCACACGGGGGGACCTAGTGAATGACCTGCAGAGAGCTGGGACCAAAGTAACAAAGCCTACCATCAGTAACACACTACGCCGCCAGGGACTCAAATCCTGCAGTGCCAGACGTGTCCCCCTGCTTAAGCCAGTACATGTCCAGGCCCATCTGAAGTTTGCTAGAGTGCATTTGGATGATCCAGAAGAGGATTGGGAGAATGGCATATGGTCAGATGAAACCAAAATAGAACTTTTTGGTAAAAACTCAACTCGTCGTGTTTGGAGGACAAAGAATGCTGAGTTGCATCCAAAGAACACCATACCTACTGTGAAGCATGGGGGTGGAAACATCATGCTTTGGGGCTGTTTTTCTGCAAAGGGACCAGGACGACTGATCCGTGTAAAGGAAAGAATGAATGGGGCCATGTATCGTGAGATTTTGAGTGAAAACCTCCTTCCATCAGCAAGGGCATTGAAGATGAAACGTGGCTGGGTCTTTCAGCATGACAATGATTCCAAACACACCGCCCGGGCAACGAAGGAGTGACTTCGTAAGAAGCATTTCAAGGTCCTGGAGTGGCCTAGCCAGTCTCCAGATCTCAACCCCATAGAAAATCTTTGGAGGGAGTTGAATTATATATAATATCATATATATATATATATATATATACACACATATATACACATATATATTTTGTAACCATTGCCTGATTTATGAAGGTCTACAGCCATTTGTCTCTCTTCATTTGTGAGTGCTTTGCCTTTCCAATGGTGATGGATGACAAAGGGATTTTACATGTGTGTTAACTCATTTTTATACCCCACTAAAACAGGAAGCCATGGAAGATACAGTTCCTTAAACTGAGATTAATTTTTTTAAAAGTAGAATGTTAATGCAGATGTTATTTTGTTTGATTTTATTTATAAGAATCTTTAGTGGTGCCAATAATTGGGACACCTACAGTATCTTTTTGAGATTTTGTTTTACTTGGTAACCCTTTCCTGCAGTGAAATGACCTAGTGGCCTCATGGGTGGAATGTTTTTAATATTTTTCATAATTTCATAATGAATCAACATAATAAACATCCAGTGTTTTTATGTCAAACGGTTTTGTTATATTTCAGTCTTCTGTGATGTATATAAAGTGTAATAATGGGATGCAAACTCAAAATGTAATACATTTCAACTCTATATCTTGTTTTTTTAAGCACATAACCGTGTGTGAGGTGTATACTTTTGTTTCAAAGTAGATTAATTTAAGACTACTACCAAGAAACACTGTGTGACCCTGATTTAGCCCACTGCAGTAAAAGGTTCAACAAAATCTCTTTCAACAGTATTAGTATAAAATAAAGTTTAAAAAATCTGAGCATACAATAGACCTCAGTATTTGTATTATTTATTTTATAGTCTTGTTTGCTCATCTTTGTCAAGGGCGCCAATAATTTGGGAGGTGATTGTATCTGTGGATTCAATTAGTATTATGTATTTATTTATTGGAATACATTTACAAAATTATTAAAACAAGGCATGTCTTTGAGACTGTTTTTCCCTAAATAAGGTTATATTCCAGTGATCCATCCCCATCACAACATGAGTCCTACTTTCACTGTGCTCAGCAGATTGTTATGAAAGAAGGTGTAACACCCAATAGTAATACACTCATATCACCCCAGACAGTTATCTTACTTCCTGTCTGAGATTGTCGAAGCAACTCCTCTGACTCATGTTCGTAACTCTGTGTGTCACTGCAAGCTATGGAGTTAATGGATTGCCCAGCAAAAGCTCATGTGAATAAACAGCTCTATCCAAGTCAGTTTAAATTGTTACGTTCTAACTTTCTGGTACAAACTCCAGGCGGACACAAAGAAGGCTCAAACTAGATTTATTACACCCAATTGGATGCTTCAGCTGAATAACATAATGATACAGAGTCACACAGTCTTTTAACTACAGTACAGTACATGAGGTAAATGTCACAGTAGGATGATCCAGGCTGGGTCAGATGGCGGTCTGGCTCTGTCCTCCCTTCTTGAGATACGATTCCGCTATCTGCATCCTGTTATCTTCACTCCACTCCCCAGCTACGACATTGAAAGCCATCTCCTCACTTCCCACAGAAACTAAACAGTTGGACAGTAACTTAACCGCGACCTTATCATAACCCAGACAGGTGGTTTCTATTCATTTCTGCAAAACGTCTTCTAACCCCAGATAAATGGCTCCTATCCGACCCTTATGGAATCATTATTGCACTCAGAGACAGGCCCCTTTTGTACTTTCCCTATGCCTAAATACAATACACATAGATTATTCAAACTAACCCATAACAGAATAATTACTACTGATATGCTAATCATACAAGAAAGGGTGCTCAGGTCTGTAGCTCAATTGGTAGAGCATGGCGCTTGTAACGCCAGGGTAGTGGGTTCGATCCCCGGGATCACCCATATGTAAAAATGTATGCGCACATGACTGTAAGTCGCTTTGGATAAAAGCATCTGTTAAACAAATTAAAAGAAAAAAGAAAAAAACGGTCTCCAACAAAACTCTCTGGGCAAATACATCAGATTAACGTCCAATTTAGATCGATATTAGACGTTGGAGTTGTCAACAAATGGGTGTTCAGTTTGAAATCAATCTGTTGATTTTTGGATAACAATTCTTTGATGTTGGTATTGATAATGGTAACAATGTTGACTGGACCAGTTGAGTCACTCACTCCTCATTCCTGACATTAGCACTGACAGA